TTCTGAATACGCATAGCCCTGGTGAGACGATGCAATCAGAGCCCCGACTCTGAAGGCTGATGCCATGGCTGGCTGACGGTTTGAGTCACTGCCCTAATCTTATACACAACAAACACAATTACAACACTGGAAGGATAAGGGGAAGCCAGTCACCCACCAGGAGGTTTAGCAAAAAGGTGTTTTTGGAGAATTCAAAGTTATTAATTGGAGGAATTGATTGCACCCTAAGAGGAGAGTGAGGCTAAGCGGGTTACCATCTCAGGCCCCATCGGATGCAAAGAGAGGTCTGGATGGCTTATCAGGCCCCGCCCAGACCTCGGATTTTAAAAGAGGCAGATAAATATCCCATGGGGCCTTGTTACTTTTTAAATGGATAACTTGCCTCTGCTCACGAAGAGCTTTGTGGGTCTAATACATTAATTATGTCGGCAGAGAGCCTTCCATCTGCAGATCCCAAGGTGCTGGGCCAGCAGTAGCCGGGGCACCATTCCATCTGGGCGGATGGAAACACTGAGGCACAGAGCTGCTCAGGGAGATCTGCAAGGTCACCCGGCACATCAAGGTCCCCCCGTGCATCATCTCAGAATAGACGCCATGTGGTGCCACCTGTGAGCCGACCGATCTGGGGAGTCTGGTTTCCCAACACCACTCTCTCTCCTCCCCAGTCTCTGATCGTTTCGCAGAGGTTTTCAAATTCCCCAATGGCTTTCCAAGTGATTTGGTTTAATTTAGAAAACAAATCTAGGACAGAGGATTTTTGAAGTGGGGGTGTTTGTTTGTTTTCGAGGGATGTGGCCAAATCAAACGCAAAGCAACTTCTTTCTACTCCACATCCTCAGGATTCTAGGATGGGGCCCAAACCCTGCAGCGCCGAGCCTGGCACTCCGAGCCACGCAGTCCAGACGCGACTGCCTTCAGATCTCCCTACCAGGCTCTCCAGGAAAAGGCACCCTTCCTGACCTCTAGACGAAGTTCCCTCTGCATGCAAGGCGGTGAGCAAGGCGTGGGCCAGACTGTGAGAACACCTGCCGGGGATCAGAGCCCGGTGACCAGGTGCCTTCGGCAGGGACCGCCCGGTTCCCCACGTTTCAGGGGCAAATGACTTGTCTCAGCGTTTCAAGTCCACAGTCTTTGAAACCCTGTTAAGTTCCGAAGCGAGTAAGTCGGTGTCTGAGGGTTCTCCGAGCCCCTTGGAGGTCATCATTACATTAATATGTCAAGCGTAGGGCGGGCGTTTCTCCCACTCACCAGGGGGCCATTCTAAACACTCTCGGACCCAAACCTTTCCTCATCCCAGTCTCACCCTCCCGTCCTCAGTGTGGTCATCAGGATCTATTTAACGCCCTTGGCTTTCTCTTTTAGCTAGAACTTCTTCGAAATACATCAGAATAGCCCAGCAGCACTGTGACCAAGAGGAAGGTACCCAGAGCTGTGCCAACAGGGGAGTTGCCCACATTTACCGAATAAGGGAGGCCTGCAGGCCGGGGCTTTTGCTTAGACATATACGGGCAACGGCCTCTGTCCCCCTGTCCTGACACCGGTCCTGGCCTCATTCCCTCCAGTGCAGACTCACGGAACTGGCATCTCCAAGGTGAGCAGGAGCTCGGCCAAGGCCTCCTGCCTTCCAGCGCCTCCCTCTCTCTCCACGCCTCTCCCTGGCTGTATGTGTGCACCACTGCGCCTATAATTATAGACACACCCGCGAACCGTCCACTGTTGTATTTACAACACTCTGCCTATGTTTGGGGTGTTATTAATACAGCTGGGGAAACCAAAAGCAGCCGTTTTCTGCTTGTGGTTTCTGAGGAAATCTATGGGAAGCAATTTGTGTAATCTAAGGGAGCACATGGGCTGGGTATGGGCTCCAGCAGGCGGCCGAGCTCCGAGCCTTGTGGTTACGCCATAAATGTGCATAAGGAGGACCCGCCCTGTAGGAAAATCATAGGTTCCATGTTTATGGCATGTGGGACGGAGAAGGACTGGGGAATGTGCTGTGCATATGGCCTGCATAACCGTGCCACGTATTGAAGGGGGATGCTCGCCCTACCCACGGCTACAGCGTCATGCCTTTCTCTCAGGCAACCTCACCACTACCTGTTGGATGGAAAGCGACTAAGAAGAGGCTGCTCTGGGCTGGGGGAGGCTGGAAAAGAGTCCTTGAGTTTTCCTCACTTCCTTCCCCCACAGGCCCAGTCCTCGCCTTAGCCCAGCCTGGGTCTAATTTTTAAACAGTGTTTTGCAAGGAAATAGCACGGCCATCCCCCATCACCTCGAGGCTCATTAATCTTGTTTTTCTCCAGTTTCCCCAATTCCCTGGTCTTTGGTCCATTGTATTGGTGTGCAGGGGATAAAATCAGGTTCCCACATTTCTGCCCCAAACACCACCCCGCCTCCCCCTTCACACCCGGTGCACTGTTCTGCATCTGCGAACCCTCCCCCTGCCCACAGAGCAGAGCCGGCTGCCGCCTCCATCTCGGCGACGCTTTGCTCACAGGTCCTGCTGTCTGAATTTGGCTTTCTAGCTACTACTTAGCACAGTGAGCTTGGCACGGCGCCCACCATCCAGCAGCTACAAAGAAAGGCTCAGCGGTAGCGCCCGGCATAGACGAAGCCGCTCCCTCCACTGCCCCCAAGTCCCCTCCTCACCCCGCCTCCCCTTCGTGGCATCAAATCAGACTGCAGCAGACTTGACAAATCTATTTGGCATGGTCCCCTCAGCGATTTCACCCCGCACAGCCCAGAGAGCCGTGAGGCTCCTGAACGGGATGGAATCTGCACGTTAAATACCGCCGTCTGGGAGGTAGATCTGCTAATGAAGGAGCAGGGAGATCACCCGTGGAGGGGAGGGCCCAGCAGGTCTCCCCGGTCGCCTGCCACACCGCAGGGGCGAGGGGGTGTGAGGGAGGGGGCAATCTCCAATTGGCAGGCTTTGCATCCTCCCGCCTCCTTGTAGGTACCAAGAGGATGAATTTCTAAGGGGGACAGACATGCTATTCCTCTGCCCCAGTGCCTTTATGTGGGCAGGACTGACTTACTAAAAACCAGACAATAACAAAACAAAAACAAATCATCCCTTGGCTACTGGGGGGAAATTTTAGCCAAGGGTGGGAAGAGGAGGAGGGAGAGGAAGAGGAGGTGGAGGAGGAGGAGGAGGAGGAGGAGGAGGAGAGACAGAGAGAGGGGGGGATCCAATATGAAAAAGTTGAGGAGAATGATTCTAAAGGCGCCCAGAAAGCAAAATTCAATTCGCAGGAACTTCTCCCCTGCAGCACGAATACCAGGGATAAAGCCAGGGAGGACAGCATTCTATCAAAATGTGCAGCGCTAAGGTATTTCCAAAAGCAGAGTCCCTACAAATGGTGTTTTAAATAGCATCCGGTCCATCTGCATGCTCTTAAAATCAGCTTATGCTACAGGATCCCTCTGGCCCTCGCTGCTTAGTCACTGAGCCTGGACAGGGCGGCGGTCAGGTGAGCCTCCTCGTCCTCCCCCCCCCCCCCTCTTCCCAAGACACGCCGCTACCCAGCTGCCGGCCCTCGTCTACCTGGCGAAGCCCTGGGTTCTACCAGTTTCTTACTGAAAAGGGTGGGTGGAGAAAGAAGGCATGAAAATGAGTGGGGTGGGGGGGGGGAGACTCAGTGCACAGCACTCCCAGCCCCCAGTGCCCACCCAGGCTTGCCATTTCCAAGTGATATTTGACAGCTCTTTCCGCAACAGATGAAGTCAGTGAGAAACCAGACCTGGCCCCACGTGTCAGGGCGAGGGCGTCTTTCGCGCCCCCTTTATCTGTGAAGTGGGGAATTCCTGTGTCTGTGTGCATTGATGCCTAGTAATATTGAGAAGCCATGGTTTTCAGATGAATGGTGCCATGTTACTATGGCAATTTTGATGTAAAAAAAAAATCCACTCTTTTAAAATCTCACATTTCCCGAGTAAAACGATGCCACCAACATTATAGCTCAGGGTTTTCTGGGCCCAAGGTTTCCAGCTGCACAGCAAGAGCCAGCTGCCTGGGGTCAGTGACGAGCGGAGGGGGCTGCTGGGAAAGGCCTTTGGCTTCTCTAGGTCTGTGTCCCATTCGACCCTTCACAACCTGAAGGACCAGGGCTCTGGTGGAACAATAGCCCTAGAGATGGGACCCCTTTCCCTCTGTCCCCAGTTCCCTCCAGAGGAGGGTAAGCATGCTCCTTCTGGGCCTCGGGCCAGTCAGTGATACCAGAGCTCCCCCACCCAGGTGAGCCCACCAGCCAGTAAGGCCCCAGGCCCGGAGCGCACAGCCACATTGCCAGCGCCAGAATGCCACGTGTCTTCAGAACTCTGAGCGCCAGACATCCGTCCATATGTCCAACAAAAGCCCCACATCACCCGCCCGGCCACACCTCTGTGAGCCCTCGATGCTGAAGGCCCAGCTGAGAGAGAGAGAGAGAGAGAGAGAGAGAGAGAGAGAGAGAGATATCACTGCTCTGTGCCAAGCAGGGCTGCCTGTTCAGATGCCATCCCGACTATTTGTTGTCCCCTTTCTTCTTTGGGACATTGTGATTCCCTCTCAGGATCTGTGCCCTTTCATTGCCAGACCTCGGTAACTCCTGAACTGCCGGTTCCTGTGGTTTTGTGATTGTTAACCCAGCGTGTGGAAGGGACTCCGGCCATAAATGCTCAATGAATCCTGTGTGGGGAGACTAGGACTGGGAACAGATTTTCTCCTTCATTTGCAGTCAGAGAGCACTCTGCAAGCGCTCTCTCTCTCTCTCTCTCTCTCTCTCTCTCTCTCTCTGCTCTGCAGGATGCAACAGCAGCCAGGTTGTTGGAGAAATGGTATTTTCCAATCACTTTAGCATAAGGAAGAGTATTTTCCGGGCCAGCATCTCCCATGTCTCCATCAGTTATTTGAGCCGCACTGAACAAGACTCCTTCCCCGCGTGGAGCTGTCCGGAAGCTCCTCTCTCCCCGCCTGTCCTGCTCCGTCCCAGCATGCCCGTGAGGTGGGGAAACGGGTTTACCTTGTGGTTTTTGCCATGCCGGTACACCATCCAGTCTTCACCATTAGTACTGACTTCCAGCTTGTAGGATTTGACATAATAGCCATTCTGGGTCTCCCTGGAAATCGCCCCCTGCGTTGCAATGGCCGTGAGCATGGTGAGAAAGCGCAGGTCCACCTGAGGAAGAGAGGCGGGGGCGTAAGGGGGGCAGCGTCTTGCTTTTTCTTCGAAGGACACAATGGTCATACGCAGCTCACAACCTGTGTCTGTGATCACTCAGACGTATCAGTGATTAAGGGCCAATTGGCAATTGCACTAGACCAGTGATGGTGAACCTATGACACGCGTGTCAGAGGTGACACGCGAACTCATTTTTTTGGTTGATTTCTCTTTGTTGAATGGCATTTAAATATATAAAATAAATATCAAAAATATAAGTCTTTGTTTTACTATGGTTGCAAATATCAAAAAATTTCTATATGTGACACGGCAACAGAGTTAAGTTAGGGTTTTTCAAAATGCTGACACGCCGAGCTCAAAAGGTTCGCCATCACTGCACTAGACAGTGAAACTCAACTTATTTGACACTAAATAGGACACCTTTGAAATCGTAACGATTATCTCTCTCTTTTTGCAAATCTGAATGGACAGTATTAAGTTTAATCTTAAGGGAATCCTTGAATGTCTAGAAGCATGACCCCTTCTTACTAAACAGCAGCCTGCCTTGGATAGCCAAAGCAGATTCTGCTTTAAAGGAACAATGGCTAAATCCAATCCAATCCACTCCAATCCAGTGCAATTCAATCCAATTCACTTACGATGCCCGAGTTGCAAAATCTCAGCTCAGGTCTGTCTCCCCTCCCCTCAGTCCCTCACTCCATTGTGTATTTAGTTGCTCAGGTCAGTAAGGGGTCAAAGGGCATGCAGAGTCTGCCCAAGCAATTAGGCTTATGCACCAAGACCTGACCTTTGCTCCATGAGGAGGATGGCCAACATTTTGAGGCACCTCCCCGCCTACAACACCAAACCCATTTGGAAATCGCTGGATGTCATTCTTTTGCTGGCCACAGTGTTTCTTTTCGTTTTGTTTGTTTGTTAATCCCCACCCGAGGATATTTTTTCATTGATTTTTTAGAGAGGATGGAAGGGACGGGGAGAGACAGAGAGAGAAACATCGCTGTAAGAGAGATGCATTGATTGGTTGCCTCCCTCACATGTCCCAACCAGGGCTGGGGACTGAGCCTGCAACCGAGGTAGGTGCCCTTGACCATAATTGAACCTTCAGTCCATAGGCCGATGCTGTACCCACTGAGCCAAACCAGCTAGGGCCACAGCGTTTCTTAATGGTAATCTCCAAGTGATCAAAATTTAGCCAGCACACACTGACAAAATTTGACCCAGCAAGCCTTTACTGGCTACTTCACATGCGCTCAGCACTAGTAAGCATTCAACAGAAGCAGCCAGTGCGGTATCAGTGCATGATAAACAGGTGGTTGGCAGTAAGAGAAAGTATGTGATTAAGGACCAGAACTCAAGGTATGATCAATGGGATGCCCATTATAAGGGAGAACTTTCTGGAAGCTTTGCAGGATGAGGAAGGTTTCTGGAGGGCAGACAGTGACAAATGGCCTTCGGGCTGTGCTATGAGTGCCTCCCTGAAAGTTTCTCAGTGGTCTTTCTCCCTTCCCCATTGTGTGCTCTGCCATGTCCTTCTCAGAGCAGAGGTCACCGCGTGGCATCCGAGCGAAGACAGGCTTGTCAGTGGGTCACACGGCTGCCTGCTGTGAGTCACGAGGCCTTGCTCAAGCAGGGAACTAGCAGCTTGCTCTTCCCTGGGGATGAGAACTGGACACGTCTGTCATGCAAGGGAGGATTACTTAACGTGACGGCAAGTCTTATTCGGAAGGGAAGCAAACAGTAGTCTGAGAAGATGCTGCAGAGCAGCCGGGCAACCCGAGTGCCATTCCCGGTGCTGACATTCCCCAGGTGCTCTTCTGAGAGCTATGTGCAAACCCTGCCTGGCAGGGCTCCTCCGAACAGCAAGGACCATGGGAAGCTGCCCTGCTCAGCTAGCGACTCACAAGCGTGACCTTAGAAAGACGCCCACCACGCCCTCCCCCCATCACATTTCTGATGCCTCCCTGTGCCAAGGATGAGGAAGACCTGGAACTGCTCATAGATGGTTCCTTGGATGTCTATAGCGACAGGGCAAGCAGCATCTCGGCCAAACAGCGTCCCCAAGGGTGGGTAAGCTTCACAGGAGCAGGTCAGTGTCCATGTTACTCGTCATTTAGCCCAGCACTCAGCACGATGCCTGCACAGCCTATTCATGCCGGCACGTGTGTCTGTTCGGATGGATGGATGAGTGAATGGTGTTCTCACGGATGCTGTGTTTATTTCCTTTGTGCCCTTTGTCCACTCTAGATGAGGAGCCACCCCCCTTGCCCACCAATACACACACACCCTGCACACCCTCTGATAGCTGAGCAAGTACCTGGAGATACTCCTTGTTGGAATCCAAGTTGGGCGTCCAGCCGTTGTCATCACCATGGAGCCGGCTTTGCTGAGGTCTCCACCTCCCGTCAGAGTAGGTAGAGGAGGCACTGATCTGCTCGTTAGCAATCCTGCCGGACTCCATTCCCAGGGGAACATTGCACTGAAAGTCTGGGGAGCGGAGATGGTCAAGCACAGAGTTAGGTATCTCAATCTCATACCCTTGGGACTCACAAAACACACCTCCCTTCCTGGGACAAGTCCTTGCAGGCACTCTCTCATCTTGAAGACCTAATTATACACTCCCGTGTTAAAAACAAAACAAAAAAACTACACCAAGTCCTAGAGCTTGACAACCCCTCTGGGTCTGAAAGAAACTAAATTGGACCTAAAAGAAATCAGGCTGTGGATAAATAAGAATCATCACACAAATTAAAAATACAATCCAAAGCACAAGAACTGTTAGTGCTGCAGGCTACAGATGCTCACAGATGCCAGATGCACCATGATTGAAATACAGGTACATGTGTGATAGACTGTGGCAATTTGGGTGGGCTGATACATCGTGGGAAGCCTGCCTCATTAATAAACACCCAGAAGGCATCTTTTGCTTCGTTTCTTTCACTCCAGTGTCTCATGAGTTCTAGCACAGAAGACAGACATTACAAAGCAACAGGTACCTGTCTTCAGGAGACCTCTCTGTAAGCATGTGCATGTCACTCTACCTTTCCCCGAACCACCTGTCTGGGCAGATGGACCCCGAAGTCCCTTACTCTGACCTTGTGCCATCAGTTCAATTGCTGCCCTTCCCATGGATACTGCAGACACTGGTCAATATTTGTGTGTACATGTGTCTGATAAGGACCAGCAAGCTTTTCAGGTTTCAGACCTGTTTAGTTTTATGACGGCTCTGGCCATTTGCAGAATTTGGTGCAAACTGCAATATTACTTGCTTGTCACTCAATATTCATGAGCCCTTTGAAGAAAAAAAAATCCCAGAATAAAACCCATCGACTTTGCAGCAGGCCAGGCTGCCGTGCCTATGGTAAGCATGGGGTATGTGTCTACAACCATGGCGGGCTTCCCCTGCTCTAACCATCCTTCAGTGCTCCTTCAGTCCTCAGGTTATCATCTGGGTTTCTAAGGGGAAATGGGAGCGCAGCTGAAGCGCATCTCAGGAGGAGCGGATATGAAGATGGAGCGCAGGGCAGGAGACTGATGGCCCAGATAGCAAGTCCACAGCACTGGGCTCAGAGCTGCATGTTGTGCTGTGCACAGTGCGTGTACTGGAAGTGTGAAGGGAAGTGTGGGATAAGCTCTACCCGGGGCCGGAGAAGTCAAAATATAGAGAGAGATTTAAAATTGCTGCTTCTGACAATGGTCACCGAGGCTTGGAGAGGAAGGAAAAGGGTCCCAGACTCAATGTTAGCACAGGGGGAATTTTATATAGATATCCTAACTAACCTCCCTTTTATTTATAGATGAGAAAGCTTGAGATGCTCCCGTAACTTTCCCTGGGAATAACTGATTCTTGGTACACATACTATTTGTTTCCTTTAAAGAAACGAGCACCCGGATGGACATGTATTCTGTTTTCATTCATCTTTGCCTAACAAGAGGACACAGCTCCCATTCTCTGAATTCAGATGCCAATGCAAGTTCTGCAGAATGCCCGCCAGGCCCCTGGTCTTGGAGAGGTCAGCACGCCCTCCCTCCTCTGAGGAAGGGACAGGACAGAGGTTCCCAACCAGCCAACTCACTCTCTAGCGGTTCTTGGTGGACCAGGTAGTAGCGGGCAGAGAAGCCATCCTTGGCCACCGCCATGTCCGTGTGAAAGGTCAGAGAGAGGATCCCTGTCGACGAACGTAGTTCAGAGGGTGTCTTGGTCCCGCAGTACTTGCCGATCAGGGGACCCACTGGATATGCAGAACAAAGAGAGGGCAACAGATATGGAAATGTCAAACTCCATTTTCAGTACGTCCTCCTTCCCCACAAGCGCAAGCCTTTCAATGGGGCCTCACTTTGTATGCCTTGGTGTAAAAGAACAACCGAAGATACGTTTTAAGAACGATGTCTAATATTTTGCCTGCACTGTAAAGGGTCCCTTCACTGACCCGCCCCATTCTGTTCTCACAGCCCTGGGAGATGGGCAGGAAAGGTACCATTATAACGCCTGCTCTACAGAAGAAAGGATCGAGGCTCCCAGAGGTCATGTGACTTTTCGTTGTTCAGACAGGAAGGAAATAACAGAGCTTCAACCCAAGTTTTATGACTAAATCTTGTATTTTTCTCAGGAAATGAAACTGCTTAGCTGACGAGTCTCCGTTATGGGGCAGAACACTTAGAATGACCACCAAAGCGAAAGGCTGGTTTCCTCGCTGATATAGACTATTCCCAAGCCTTATGCTGGTCTCCTGCTGAGAAGAACAGGTTCCTGGTTCCTCTTGGCCTGGGTGATGTGCCCTTTTGACATCTATGACTAAATTAATAATAATGGAATTATAGTAATAATAATGATGACAACAGCAGCTTATTTATACAGATATGACAGCTAGGTTAGCCGCTTGTGCAAGGTTGCAGAGCCACTATTAAGCAGAGCGGGATTTACACCTCATCAATCCGGCTTGAGAGTCCTATCTGGGCACAGAGGGTAGCCACTGAGTCATTTTCTATGGAATCCTGACAACATGAAGGAGAAAAGAGCATCGCCGATAGCTTTTCTCATCCTCACCCAAGTGTCTCCTCCGTCTCCTCCTAGCCTTCTCCAAACCAGTGTCTCCAAGAAAGGATTGCCCCTCTGCAATCTCTGAAACCATCCTTGGTGTAGGATAGGACAAGAAAGTCACGGCGGGTCAGATACAAACCCGAAGGAGGTTTGAAGTCTCGCTCTCTATTTTTGTTGTTCCTAAAGCAATTAGCAGGCCCAGGAGAGGCTCCTGAGCAGTGCCTGGGGACAGCGACAGCACTCACCATGCGGGATGCCGTCCCAGATGTCCAGCCAGTCGTACTTGCAGTCTCCCTCTCCCACCTGCAAGGGGTCGTGCTCCAGGTCAAAGGTCAGAAATTGCAGGACGATCTCCATCTTGGGTTTGGCCAGGATGGTGAAGGTGCAGTCCAGGTTGTGTGGGTACTTCTCGGGGAACCCGGGGGACTCGATGGTCCCGTTGGGGCTTGTGAAGTTTTTCGAACAATCTTCGGAGCCTGTATGTCAAAGGGAACCGTAGCATTAAGAAAGGAGGAGACAACGCCTGTCTGGGCTGCCTCTGTTGCATGAGTTATTTAAACGCCTGGGCCTAAATCCCTACTCATGGGGTGTTTGTTTCCACTGGAGTGGCCCTTGAAGCAACATACTCTTCCCATTCACGTGTCAAGCCTGTGAGCGGGACCCTCTTTAAGAGAGAAATTAAGGAGGCGAAATGGTTTGCTCTACATGTAAGAGTAAGAATAGTAATTGAGGAATTGGGGGGGGGGAGTGTGTGTGTGTGGAGAGAGAGAGAGAGAGAGAGAGAGATTGATTCTCTTGAAAAGAGGAACAGAGACTTCTTTCTCAATTACTCAGCTGCTTGCTCCAGAAATGTAAGTTATTTCAATCCTTAAGGAAGGCTTGCTGATTGCCAGCAGGGCAAACAATGTTACCCCTTATTTATTGCTGACCTCAACACAGCCCCTATTGTACCAGCGCCAACCGAGTGCCCCCTTCTCCCTCCAAGATCCAAGGTGCCCCAGGGGAGGGGCAAAGGGGAGCTCGGGTCTCATTCATGTCATGACTATATTAAAACGAGCTGCTCTGTAGTGGCCAGACAATGAACAATCGACGTTTGTAGCCGGTGGATCACAGCGGGGCGCTGGGGCTGTGAAAGGCCGCTCGGCAGCAAGTCTCGAAAAATGCGGCCCTGTGCTGCCACTGGGGAGGCTCCTGGCCCCTTTCTGTGGGGTGGCCTTGCTGTGTGTCTGCTTTCTCGGGACTCAGGGAGGCGTCCTTATTACATGTGGCACACACTTCACCCTGGGGCGGGCTTGGCGGGTGGTGGGAGCTGTGACAGGATTACAGCCACCCTACCCCTAAAGCCTCTAGGTGGAGTCACATTCACAGAGCCCTCGAGCACTGTGACCCAGCCTCCCACTGCCAGGGGAGGCCCAGAGACGGCCCAGGACATGCAGCTCAGCCCGCTGGACGTGACATGCACAGGGCGCGCTCTGAGACAAGTTAATGCCGCGTGGGTACTGCCGGACAAGTAGAATGGATTTCACGACGTTGTGATTTTTAAATTAAAAAAAAAGAAGAAGCAGGATTTATGAGGAGGATAAATAGGCCCTCTAAGCATGAAGAAAAAACACACCCAAATCCTCAATAAAGCAGGTGTTTACTGGCAGGAAGTGTCCCCTGGGAGCCCACAGAAATGCAACTATGCGATGTCAATATGCGGATCTCGGCCCGGGGCGATGTCTTTATCCGCAGCTCCTGCAGAGGCCCCTCCGTGAGTCTCTTTATTGATGATGACTGTCTGGAAAGCAGCAAAGTCTGACTTGGAAAAGGTATCATGCAGATGAGCGGGGGTGGTGGCATCAGGCAGAAAATTCCAACATCCCCACCTACCCAGCACTGAGCTTTGGCAGCTGGGCCTGGACACCTGGGGCGAGAGCCAGCCTCTTCAGGATTTGTTGGGGGGGGGGTGGGTGCTCTCTGTGGGCCACATCTTAGCAGCTCTTCATCCCATCATTCTGGGGCAGGGCAGCCCAATGGGCAGCCAGGGCCAGCGGGAGGAGCTGGATGGCACCCCAGTTTCCTAGCAAGTCCCTGGCTTTGGTTACCATCTAGCCCTCAGCTCCCAGGCCTCCTCAATGGCCAGATAAGGCAGTTTGGCGAGGCCAAGCCAGCTGGCAGGACTTGGGGCCGAAGGGACCTTTGAGAAGGTTAGTGTTGTGCGGCCTGCTTCATGCGGGCCACTCAGCCAGAGGAAAAGAGCTTTTCTTCACAGCACACATCCAGAGCTGGGAGGGGCATCGACCTTCCTTCCAGAGGTGGCTCTATCATCTCTCCCTTCCAAGGCGAAGGGAGTCCCCACCCCCGGGAGTGGGGAATTCATAGTGGAATCTTTCTTTGGTTCCTCCCAACAGTGGGGGAGGCTTCCACAACGGACACCCAGTAAGCCTGAGGGAGGCCGGGAGAATGTGAGCTTCTAAAGCCCCCACGGTCTCCAGGTTCTGAGGCCAGCATTTGACGGCACAGAATTTTTCAATCTGACGTTCTTTAAAAAAAAAAGAAAAAAGTGTGTATCTATCTCTGACATGTGGCTGTACAGGGGTATATCCCCTGCCTTATTTGGAATGAGGTGGGCAAACAGTTTTATCCTTTTTATGCAGGAAAATCAAACTTATCCATTATCATCGTGACTTTGTCCGTTAGAGTGCCATCTCGTTATGTAAACCGCGGTCACAGTGTTGGAGAGCGGGCGGCTGAGAATCAAATGTGGAGAAGAGACCTCAGAACAGGGTGACGATCCCTGACACAAAAGCTGAGCCTTGCAGATAACTCCCTAACCCAAGAGCCCTTTTCTGTGATGTGTTACAGGGTTAGAGGTAACAGAAAAATATCTCCGTCCACAGATACTCAAGTTCCCTCGGTGCTGAGACTGTCCCCAGGAGCCGGGGGATTTCAGCTGCAGTGCATGATTTCAGACCAAAGGACTCCGCTAGGAAAAATGCGCACTCCATGGTTTCCCACTGTAAATTTTACAGTCACCCGGCAAGTGGAAGAAGAATCTGTGCGCACAAAGCTATTTACAACATGTGGGATTTATCCGAAGCTAAGCTTGGCCTGACGGCAGAAGGTGAATCTAGTTCCTCAGTTCGGGGAGTGGGGGGAGGGGGCACCCCAGGTTTTCTCTGTCTGTGAGTGACCCCAGAGATTTCAGTTCCCAAAACATCCCCCAGCACCAGGAAAGAAAACTTGATCTTGAACGTTGGTCCGAGGAGCACCAGAAAAACAAACAAAAAACCCCACATTTTCCAGTGGTTTAAGCCTCCAATGCTGTATTTGAAGTTATTTTAAAATTCCTTTCTCTGGATTTGGGGGCTGGAGAGCCTTAGAGTTTACGAGTTGTTTTGGTTTGCCCCTTTACATGGGGAGAGTCTGGTAATGTACAGACTCCTTTATAAGCCACTTCGTTCAGGGCAGACATGCGCCTCCCACTCCAGCCACATGGCCCCTGCCTGTACCCAAGTGGTGGGTGTGTGTCTGTCAGTCTCCTTTTGCAGCCGTCTCGCCAGGGCGATGTGCTGGCGAAGGCTTCCAGAGCCCTCTGTGTGGGTATGTGTGTCTGTGTTTACGGTTCCCGCTTCTTTCTCTACGAATCTGACCAGCAGACATAGCTGTGTGTGTTTAGATTTCTTTAGAACGTGCATGCGCTTCTTTCATGTTCTGCAGATGATGTAAATGGTGTATTTTCTCTCGAGACTCCAGCGGTGGGTGCAGGGCACGGCGCCTGGAAGAATGTTGACATTTGCACCCCCACACATGTACGTGCTTTATACCGAGTTGCCGTTCATGCGCAGAGCTGCTCTTTGGAATGGACATGATGGCGGGTTGCAGTGGCTCCGAGAAACCACTGGGCCCTCGTCTTCTTTCTTACATTTCCCAGATGCATGGCTGTTGTGGGCGGGGATACCTCCCACTGTAGTCACATCCTTCCTCCTGTACAGACAACGGCAGTCCTGAAAGCGGGCTGCCCACGTCTCCACGCCCAAGCCACCTCTCTTGGCTGGCACTCCTGTTCCTAAGAAGTATGCAGACTCGCTGCCTCATGCAAAGATCCTACCTCAGCCTGTCCTGAAAACAGCAATGCTGCGTATAATACCCTCCTGTGTTTTTAACTTTAAATCGGAATAGCGTTAACATCCACTTTTCTGTGGCTTTCTGGAGAATGTGGCAGCGTCGCTGTGAACTACTGAGTCAGGAGGCATGACACGGAGGTGAGCTTGAACGGTCCTGCTCATTTTATTGCGACGGCCCCGTGGCCAGCTCCCTGGAGACCTTGCTTGAAGCTGTTTCCCTCCCGCGGCCAGCACAGTGGAGCCGAGTGACAGCTGAGCCCTGGGGACCTTGCTATCAAATAGACTTCCCAGATTCTCCACCTGCCAAGCCACCCGATGGAGCCCTCATTTCCACAACCACAGCGTGTCAGTCACACCTTTCCTGAGCGCTTACTCATTCTGCCTCAGATTATAGTTCTTCCTTCCATTTACATGTCTATTTACATACATTCATCCAACAACGTCTACTGTGCCTCTGGGACGTGCTGAGGGTCGGCACACCTGTCTCCCTCACGGGAGGAGGGCGAACACTCTTTTATTCCCTGGTCGGCCCTCGCTCCCCACTGCTCCCAGCAGAAATGCTACAATGAGCTTTTCATCAGTGATCTGAGCTTGCACAGGACTCGGGAACTGTGGATCAAGCGATTCAGGAGCTGCCCACCAGCCTGGAGCCACTGGACACAGACTGTCAGTCCCCGTGACCTCGTGAAGTCAGGCAGGTGATGACCCACAGCAGATGGACCTTCTCGGGACTTGTGCCTGCGAGAGTCTGGGCTCCCACTCGGGCTTGACACAGTTCCCTCGGCCCCACCCCTTCGTCAGACTCTACGTTCCTGTTCTCAGGCAGACAAATTTAACAAATATTTAGACAGAGTGGATATAAAAAGTGCTTTCAGCAGCTACCACTTCCTTTCAAGAACTGTTTAGTGAAAAAGAAAATATATATGAATAGCTCCCCTCACACTGAACTCAACAGGCGCCGGACTTGGGCCTCTCGATGACAAGGCCTCCCCTGTCACCAGCTCCATCCACGGGCTGCAAAACTTAGGCTGGTGAGGGGAACACACTCCTTCGATGGGGCGGGAGCCCCTTAGGTGGCGGAGCGGCCAAGGGACAGGGGAGAATTGGGAGATGAGCTTCACTCAGCCTCAAGATCATGAGCTCACATATCGGAGGGCAGGGCATGCTGCTGGGAGAGCAGAAATGGGGATGCCGAACCAGCATCTTGTGAATGAAAGTTGGCTCTATCCAGGTATGGGCATAAGCACTGGCCCATGCTCTCAGCAATCTAAGGGGGAGCTAGTCGAAAGCGAGCAGTCTGCTTGATGTGCACGTTCTCTCCCTCTTTGTTTTATTATGCTTTTTCGGGGTCAGCTTCCTTGGCATTTAGGAAGTGGGGTTCGATGGGTAGAAGTGGTAAAGTGGATCAGCGAGGGGAATTTCTAGGAGCCATAACTGAATTTCAAAGCTACTGTCTGACCCCAGTGGGAGGGCGTAGGCCACACTGAGATCTATAGAGACTCTACACAATACAAAGATTATGTCCTCCTGCTCCGTGTAATTCCAAATAAAGGCAACATTAAACCGTGAAGTAATTAGGAGGAAGGTCAACCGAGTTTCGCTTTTTCCCATGAAGATGAGTGTGATTTTAAAAAACACAAGAATCAGATTCACCCCAACAGTGGTTTTCTATTTAATTGGTGCCCCTTCTCTTTCGGTGACACAAACAAAGCTTGTCGGCCGGTCGGGCCTCACCCAGCACATCGTCCTCGCCAGTTGGGTGATGACATAACTGGCTTTCCATCTTGGTCTGTCTCCAGGTCCGCTGGAACCTCTCTTCTCTCCCTCAACCTGCCTGTGAGCCCACGACTCTGACACAGTTCCCGTAGGCCGTGCCCCACAGCCAGACACAGAGGGTGGTGCCCCATCTTCTCTTAGAGGCCCAGGTCCCGGCTTTCCACCCAGGACCGCACTGACCTGTCTTGAAGATCTCGTAGCGTAGGGAGAAGCCCGCACCCTGCCGGGCGTAGTCGGAGGTGAACTTGATGTAGAGCACGGAGCCCGAGGAGATGATGGTGGGCGGAGCGATGTTCCCGCAGTGCTTCCCCAGGAGGTCTGCAGACTCACTGTCCCCATCCCGGATCTCGATGAAGTCATACCTAGGTGAGGAGGCGCGAAGGGGCACAGGTGAGAAAAGACCACTTTAAGGAGATGAGAAGGACCCCTTGTCTCACTCCAGCGCATGTGCGCTCTCTCCATTCATTTCTAGACACTTAGGTGTTTCGGATTGCTCAAACAAGGTCACTGTTTGCTTGCAGAGTATCAAACACACACACAGGAAGTTGCATTGCTTTATTAAAGCCACAGAGAATGAGCACTTTGGCCGATGGCTAGATTTTAAGGCCTTATCTCTTGCCCACATACGAGCAGTAGCATCAGTCTATCAAATATCTCAAAAAAAACATTTTTTTTTCATTTTTTTCTTCCTTCTGTAGAACCATTTTTATTTCCATTATGATCTTTCTGCATCTTGGTCGTTGCCTCTTAGTTCTGTATCACTGCAAGTTGCTTAACCCATTTGAGTATCCATTTCTTCATCTGGAAGATGGGGATAAAAATACCCACCTCAGGGGGTTGGGAGAGAGATGGAATGAAAAAATCATAGGCAAGGTGCTAGGCACCGAGCCAGGCACACGGGATATTTCAGAGATTTTTATTTTCCTGCTCCCTCCCCCACATTTAGGTTTTCTCCTGGGTCCTCCCTCTTCTCTTCTCTTTACTTATTCATGACAAAGACTCCCCAAACATGGGCCACCTCCCTCCCTGAGATGACTCTGCAAAGTTCACATCAGCAACGTCTGGCCAACAACATATTTTTAAAAGGAATCAGCATCACGTTAGATAAGGCAATAAAAACCTTTCTCCCAACGCAGGGGCTGAGTCCCCAGGGACCAGCATCTCTGATCACATAACTCCTAGCCTCAGCAAGAGGCGGGGGGCCGCCCTCCCTACCCACCAAGGCCTGAGCTCATTTCAAACAATCCAACTGCCCGGCGGGGAAAGACTCCTCAACCCACAGGTTGAGAACCGCTGCCTTAAGCAGACATTGGCTGGGCTGTGGGACAGCTCACATCCTGCGACATTTTATCTGCACAGACACATGCCTTCGGCCTTGCTGTGCGCTCTGGGGATTGTCACTGTGCCCTGACTGGGTTCCTTCTCTGGGGTCCTAATGCTGAGGTGGGACATTTCCCTACCAGCTCCCTTCCCACCATTATTTACTGAAAACCATCATCTCCCTCTCCATCCCTGTGTATTTACTGGGCATCAACCTGCTAAACCAGTGGTTCTCAACCTGTGGGTCACGACCCCTTTGGCGGACGAACGACCCTTTCACAGGAGTCGCCTAAGACCATCCTGTATATCAGATATTTACATTACGATTCATAACAGTAGCAACATTACAGTTATGAAGTAGCAACGAAAATAATTTTATGGTTGGGTCACAACATGAGGAACTGTATTTAAAGGGCCAGAAGGTTGAGAACCACTGTGCTAAACCAACACGGGAGAAATCTCTTTCCGTTAAAAAGAAGGTCTGGCCTGGCCAGTGTGGCTCAGTGGTTGAGTGTTGACTCAGGAACTAAGAGGTTTGATTCCCAGGCAGGGCACATGCTGGTGTCGTGGGCTCGATCCCCGGATCCCTCTCCCTTCCTCTCTCTCTAAAAGTCAATAAAAATGTATTTAAAAAATAAAAAAAGAGGGTCTGGAAAGGCTACCCTCCCTGGGATGTGCCTGCCACACACCCAGGGTCTGTGGGAGAAGGCTGCCCGCAGAAGTGGCTTCTTTGAGCCAGAGTGGCCCAAGGCCCCACTCCAGCCCCTGAGAGCTGCATTTCAGGTTGCTGGCATTTCAGGTGGCTCAGGTTGCTGGGCTACTTCCAAATCAATAGGCCCGAGAAGGAAGTGGGAGGTGCGGACCAGGATTCGTTCATTCGCTGATCCCAGAGCCCTGGAATCCCGCAGTGAAAAGACTCACAGAAGCGGTTAGAGCAGCCGTGGGCAAACTACGGCCCGGATCCCGCCTGTTTGAAATGAATAAAACTAAAAAAAAAAGACCGTACCCTTTTATGTCATGATGTTTACTTTGAATTTATATTAGTTCACACAAACACTCCATCCATGCTTTTGTTCCGGCCCTCCGGTCCAGTTTAAGAACCCATTGTGGACCTCGAGTCAAAAAGTTTGCCCACCCCTGGGTTAGAGTCTGGGGAAGGTGGCAGGGTTTCCGCCAGGAGCTGTGGAGAGATGGCCACAGTCAGGGAAGGAGTGGGGGTGAGGAATGGTGTAGGCCTGTGATTTCACTGTGGGAGATGGTGCTAACTTTGAAAACATGCTTCCTCTCTTCAGAAACAAAAGTGAAAAGACAGTTGATTCTCAGAGGAAATTCCCCAAACCTTCTGGAAAATCCCTCCTTACTATTTCCACACGAGGTAAGTGCTGCGGGCCAGCCACACCCAGTGAGTAATGGGGATGCACGCACGGTGGTGGAGAAGGCACCGGGACTCCTTAAACCAGTGGTTCTCAACCTTCCTAATGCCGCGGCCCTTTAATACAGTTCCTCATGTTGTGGTGACCCCCAACCATAAAATTATTTTCGTTGCTACTTCATAACTGTAATGTTGCTACTGTTATGAATCGTCATGTAAATATCTGATATGCAGGATGTATTTTCATTGTTACAAATTGAACATAATTAAAGCATAGTGATTAATCACAAACACAATATGTAATTATATATGTGTTTTCCAATAGTCTTAGGCGACCCCTGTGAAAGGGTTGTTCAACCCCCAAAGGGGTCGCGACCCACAGGTTGGCGACCCACAGGTTGAGAACCACTGCCTTAAGCAGACATTACCTGGCCACCTGGGCTAGCAAAAGCATGGCTCCTGGAGAAAGAGCCCTCCCCACATCCCAGAAGTGACACAACTCAACCTAATTAACGGGGTGCCCTCAGGCAAGTCACTTAACCCTCTGAGCCTCAGAAACAGGGAAAATAAAACTAAAATAGGGACAGCAGACCCTTTCTCCTAGGGTTGCTGTGAGATTTCAATGGCCAACATGACCTATCCACGGTGTCACTACACAGCCTGGCAGTCAGTAGGTGCTTAATAAATGCTAACTGTGACCTGCTGTCCTCACGCCCATTTCAGAGGTGAAGAGGCCGAGGCTGGAGCGGAAGCGACTTTCCCTGAGAGACAGAGCGAGGAAGGACAGGGCAGTAGAAGCAGGAAGGCACATCTGTTCACACATTTTGGAGGGCATCTTGGCAAAAGTGTGACAAAAGGTAATATGTCCATACCCTTCACTCCAGCAATCCCACGGCTGGGAAGTTTTCCTAAGAAAATAACCAGACAACTGTGCAAAGATGTATATGAATCTGTGTGGGTGGACATCTAAGCAGCAGCACATAAGAAGTGGAAAGATGCTATGTTTATAACAGCATCGTGTCGGAATGCCCGCATGCACAGGTCCATCCGTGTTGGCATATGATAAAATGGAATACGCCGCTGCTCTAGTAGATAGTTCTGCAGGTCTATATGCTTTTGTTTATGGAAAAGTCTTTGTTAAGTCGAAAAACATAGGTATTTTTACGAGTATGTTTTAAAACATATATGTGCATGTTTACATATACATATATATATATATTTTTTTTGCATACACATGCAGACAAAAAGTCCAAAACAGTGCATACTAAAATATTAACAGTGGGGAGACAGATGAGTGATGGGATAATTGGTAATTTTGACTTTCTTCTTTGTTCTCTTCTATTATCTGAATTGTTTACAATGAGTCTACATTTCTCTAATAAGCCTACATTTCTCTAATAAGCCACAAAGATATAAAATAAAACTACTTCCATTAAGAGTTGTTTCCCAAGTAGAAGAGCTGGGAAACATAACCCAGCTTTCACAATTTAGCAGATAAGAAATAAATATCACCATCATCATGACCATCACCATCCATCTCACAGACTTCCTGTGAGGACTGACTAAGACACAGCCTGTGGGGCACCTGCCATAGAGCCAGGGACAGGGCCCACACTCAACAAATATTACAAATATTTCTGTGAAGTCCACCAGATAGCTCTAGTGCAGTGGTTCTCAACCTTCTGGCCCTTTAAATACAGTTCCCTCATGTTGTGACCCAACCATAAAATTATTTTCGTTGCTACTTCATAACTGTAATGTTGCTACTGTTATGAATCGTAATGTAAATATCTGATATGCAGGATGGTCTTAGGCGACCCCTGTGAAAGGGTCGTTCGACTGCCAAAGGGGTCACGACCCATAGGTTGAGAACCACTGCTCTAGTGGCTGTGGCGCCACTTTCTCCAGGAAGGACAAAGAGAGGCCCTGACATCCACCAGCTCCTCCGTCAGAAGGGGGAGGGTTTTATCTGGTTGCCTGATCACCCCTGGATCAATTGAGGGGATCAGCAGAATCAGGGGTGAAGCAGGGCTGCCCAACAAATGCCACAGCTACATGCCGGCCTCGATGTCCCCAATGGGTATACGGCCCCAAACCCTCCTGCGTAACGCTGACAGCTGCAAACACATCCTTACATCCCTCCATGCACACAGATGAAGAGATGCGCTTTTGGAAAAAGTTTTCCTGTCACTCCATCACATTATACTTTTTCTCTCTGAGCTGGTTATTTAAAGGAGCCCTCTGCAGAATCCTTTTGTGAAGCAAATAATCAGCCCTGACTCGAACTTCGTGGAAAAACTGGCTTTTCCCGTCAGGTTTGCTTGCGGGGAAAGCTACCTAGCGTTGTACTGTGTGGGAGACTCTCCCTCCCTCCAGGGTCCGGGTTCTGCCCTGCGGACAAGCCCCAGTCAGCCACCAGGGCCGTGGCTGGGCTTTTTGTAGACAAGACCCACTCCACATGACACGCTGACATCACACAACACGGAATGTCTCAGTTGCCTCCTGTGGGACTGACTCATTGGGGGAAATTTTTTATTAGGGATTTGCCACAGCTGGAGTAAATCTCAGAAATTTCGTGTTGTCAGGTTCGTGGGAGGAAGCTCGCAGAAGCTGAGGACGTCTGTGGCCTTGGAATATATATGATTCAGCGTCCAGCATCTAGGATCCAGT